TCTCTTTTATCCACCTCACCAATCTTCATTAATTGGTATCTCATTATGGATCCAATTAATTAAGATCTCAAACTTACTTCTCTCCTAATCACCTTAATAACTCCACAAATTCAGCCCAACTCTTCTCCCCATTTCCACCCCTCCCTCCTTGGATTAATTTGAAATTCAAATTAAATCCCTCTCCTAAACCACTAAAATCTGAATTTTATTTCAGATTTCCCGCATTTGCCTCTTATCCCCCACCATAGCCGACTCCCCCATCTTCTCCTCTTTTGCTTCAACAAGTGGTCGGCTCAAGGGCTCAAGAAGAGAGTTCTCCACATCCATGGACGGCCGATCCCGACTTCAACCACGGCTTCGTCTTTCAGGATCAAGGAGGAATGGATAAGACGGTGGATGGTCACTAGTCATCCCATGGACTACCCGCCACCGGCTACCACTCCAACGGACTACACTTTGTGCGCCATTTGTCTCCTAGTGGCATCGCTCGGTTGCTCTCAATCTTCCTCCATTAAAAGTGCCACCAACAAGAGAGTGAGTGAGAGACCCAAGGTGAAAAGTTCTATTTGTTAATTATGGATTATTGTTTCTCCCCATAACATTACTCTCTAATTTTATGTTGTCAATTTGATCTTGTCCCGTTAATCTAGTTGTAACCGCATGCCTTACTTAATTTTGACTTGATAATTCTTAAAACCTAACTTGGGTAAGCATTAATTCTATAACTAGCAAAGCTTTAACAGTCTTATATTAAAATCCCCAAGCAGTTCTTGTTTCCATGCATTACGTTTCACATCATATTGCTTCATGTATAAAACAACAACCACATACTGACGATTATGTGGAGCAGTGTAAAGTATTCTGCTGCATATCCCCATCGTTCTTAAGAGTCAAAAGTCTGCTAGTCTATCAATCCTCTAATGTTCATCACCTAGGTATGATCCTAAGCTTGTAGCATGGAATATTATGCATGCATCACCAAAATAGGACGCACATAGCTTCCAAGTCACTATCCACCTTGAAACCACCTCAAGAAAACCCAATTCCTATCAATCCATCCTTTGGCCTTTACACAAGATGATACATAACGAGATGAACTCCGGCTTGTAAACCCAATCGAACTGTAAATCAAAGATTGCAAACCCAATAATTAAGAGATTATGTAATTCCCTTTTTTAAATTCGTAGGACCTTTTCCCCCTCCTCCTATAGGTATACAAAGGCTAATGACAAAAACACTTAAATCATGTGTGTTGTCTCACTTTTCTGACATCTCAAACCTCATAACAATTGACTACCTGGCACCATTAGGAAAAAAACTAACCCTAGCGCTCAACCCTCCTACCATTCAATCATGAATGGATTGGGAGTCAAGCTCTCTAGTTTGTTAATCCTTCCAGACTAGTTCCAATAGCACATAAATGGGTTTAATCAACTTGATCTATTATGCAAAACTTCAAAGAAACAGATGTACAAAAAAGAAGATAACTTCTTGAGTTATAACTAGGTTATTAAAATGTAGAAGCATCTTAAAAAAATAATGTGATAAGAGGATATTCTTGTGATGTTCAAGTTTCACACCGATTAGGTTGTAAAGATCCACATATTGGGCAACAAAAAAATTATAGAATGCCAAATTAAGTGTGCAAAAATGAGAATGTTAAAATAAATGATGCATTGTGCCGCATTATGATAAAACTAAAAACTAAATGGTTAGTAACCTCCTATCAATATGCTACAAAACAACAAATGCAGTTAAGCACACATTAAAGATTCATATATCTTTAAATTCATAGTTTTATGAAAAATCTTACCAAAAATAACAATTTATCATGACTAGGTTGTTTGATAAATTATACAATAAAACAGCTGGGTATTGGTTTTCAAAGAATATGCATGACAATAGGTTTGATTATTAAGACACAAACCATTAACTGCTTCAATCGTTAACTAATAGATTGTTACCCGGCAAAATAGTGGTCATATGATTACGAAGAATTATACATGCTGTATGGTGTTGGTAAATCGGTTGACTCCAGCCAAATTGAAAACCACATCCCAACTACTAGCTGCAAAGAATAGTACAATGAAAACTCAGTTACTTCAAGATTGACAAGAATATTGTCGAATTGAAGTTATTAATTACTTCACAGGTTCAACTTTCTTAAAGAAATTCTTACATGTAATAATAATTTCAGCCATCCAGGCAATTGGTGGTTATAATTCTTGGTAAATCGAAAAATATCATCAAGCAAACCAATTGCTGCAAAACCCAGAGTCACTGCTGCTACTGCAATAAAAAGGATATTATGATGTCCTATTATAGCTCTCGCTGTGGTGATGCCAACTGGAAGGAAAAATAAGCCACCAATTGTAGGTATTGATGTTTTAAGGGAATTAAGAGGTCTTTCCCTCTTGACGACCTGATGTATTTTCAGGCCATCAACAATGGCAACAAACAAAAATCCAATACATGCTGATAAAAATGCTGATATAGAAAATGGGTATGTCAAATAAAATGGCTTCAAAGGTAGCCTAACAATCCTCCATGAGCACCAATCAACAGATAAAAGAAACAATACCAAGAAGGCTGTCAATCCCAATGTAAGGATGACTCCTCGTCGAGTCCTGGCATAAAAAGGAAACATTTGTCAAATTAACAACAGTTTTAGATCCAGAGAAAACATATTTTCATTTAGGATATAAAGTGCATCTCATTCTACACAAGAATAGCAGGAATCTCCAGGAAAGAACAAGAGAATGATATCAAACAATAGAGAAATTAAAAATGGAACTACTTTCATATTAACCTAAAATATGAATGCTCACCTATTCTTTCTGTAACCTTTTTGAATGGTTGCCAACCGGTGGGCCGACAAAGTCAATGCAGCATTGGGAGTTTCTAAGCGTTCCCTGCTTGTTGGCAGGTCAGTTTCAGCAAAAGGAGTTAGGAAAGCATCAATATCGCTATCCTCCCCTTCACTAGACGAAATTATATAACCAGAACTCCCTCTATAAACCCCATCATTCTCAAGAGAAAAGGAGACATCACCAAAATCCTATGCAGTAACAGAAGACCACATCCACATTAATTAACAAGAAGCCCTTTTCTCATTACAAATGAAAAGATATAAATCAAAACAAGCCATTCTAATAAAGCAAAACAAGTCATTCTAATTGGAAGTTAAAATAAGAGTGAACATAAAGAAAATGAAAAAAAAAAGTGAAAATTTTCTTTATTGGCAGTTTAAAATGAGAAGAAAATAAAACGAAGCAAAGAGTTCCATCTAACAGGACGCTTTATGCCTCTCCTGTAACAAAGTAAGAGCGGATAGTTATAGCTTGCTCCCTCTTTATACCAGCAACAGTTTATTCAACTTCTGTCTTCTACTGATCAGAGCATATATGTCAAATAATTATATATTTTTTTTCTTTCGATATAATTTCTTTTCAAAATTAAAACCTCTAATCAAAATAAAATAATCTACATGCCTCATTTACTTCTATTTTCTCTCCACTTAAATCTCCCAAACTCGAAGAAGTACCTCATCAATCGCCGCCGCAACAGGAAAGAAAGAATTACGCAAATCGCATCTCTGCAAGCTAATTTCCGCACCAATGCGCCGCTGCAAAAAGGAATAAAAAACAGCTATAGTATCACCATCTCACATTCACACTAAACCACTCATCGCTAACAGACAGATTAAAAGATTTTGGTTTCGTTTCAGACCTTGATAAAAGAACAACCGGATTGAAGATCCGGGTCAAAGGAAGACGATGCTCTCCTGGAAACGCAGGGCTGAGAACTGGCTCGCAGGGATTGGGCCAACCCTAGACGAAGAAGATGGAGGCTTGCGGAACACATGAAGGCGATGGAGAGGTTGTCGATTTGATGGCCGAAGTAGGCCACTGGAGAATGTATCGGAGGTTGATGACGCCCTTATTAGCTGCTGCGGAAGGGAAGCGGAATCATCGAAGCAAGACGGGAACGGGAAAAGTCCTCTATATAAATACTATCTTACCTAAATTCAGATTTGATAGATGACCAGTTCAATTAAATTCATATAAATTATTTTATATATTTTTTATATTTAAAAGATTATATAATTTATATATTAAAATATTTATATTAGGATATTTTAATATAGTTTATATGTAATATAAAATATTTATGAATAATATTAACCTCAAAATAAATCATTAATTTTTAGATCATTTTCAAGACAAATTAAATTATATATTTTAACATAAATTTTTTATGTTTAATTAAAATAAACTAAATTATAAATAATATTGTTGCGTCCTGGAATATTCGCGGCGGTAGAGAAATATATAGTTTAACGTCTTAGCATTGTATGAAGATCCAGCACACAATCATATAAGTGAGAGGGTGTAGCGTTCATAAGAGACACCAGAATTTTTACGTGGAAAGCCCCTAAAAAGGGGGAAAAACCACAGGGCCTAGCCCAGTTTGAATGAATCCACTAATATTTGTAGTCGATTACAAATGAGGCCTTCTTAGGAAGAATGTCTTGGCTTGGTGTCACAAATGTACATCATATAGAGTGTATTACATGGTGGGAGTTACAATAGATGTATTTGTTTTGTCAGCACGACCATAGTCGATATGATGGAGGTCGGAAAGACCGTTGTCTGGTGATGGAGGTCGGAAAGACCTTAGTAGGCGACGGAGGTCGGGAGGACCGTAGTCGGCAGGAGACCAGGGTCTGAAAGACCGTTGTAGTAGGGCAGTACTCTGGCAGAACTCTAGGCGTCAGGTAGTGGCCCAGCAGAAGTCCGGGCCTCAGGTGGTGTTGCGGCGAAGGTGATGGCCTCTAGCGAAGGTGAGGGCCTCTGGGGAAGGTGAGGGCCTCAGTTGGTGGTCCGGAGAAGCTCCAGCGGTGGACCGCCGAGGCTCCGGCGGTGGTCCGACGAGGTTCTTGTAGTGGTCCGGCGAGGTTCCGGCAGTGGTCGAGGAGGAGCTTCTTCCTTCTCTCCCTTGTCTTCTTCATTCTATTATCCTCTTCTCTTCTTGCTTCGGTCCCCTCTTATGGAGAATGAGGGGTCTATTTATAGATTTTATGGAGTGTCATAGCTCGTAAATAGACGTGAGATCAGGGGCGAATAGGGAGTGGTCGAATGGACGGCCGATATTGAATCCTACGATCGTGTATGGTTCGTTGGACATTTGAAGGCCTTAGTAATGTCGTAATTTGGTGATCTTGGGCTTGTTGGATTCGTCTCGTCGAGCCGCTCGATTCGAGTATAAGCTCGTTAAAATCGGAGACCGTTTGGTAACTCAAATTGTGATATGAGGCTTCCAACAGCGCTTCTGGTCCTTGATTTGGGCACATTTGGGCTCGGATTGAGTCGAATTTGGTGTCGTTGGGTTTGTATTTTCGAGATGCTCAGTTCAACTATAAGTTTGTTGAAATCGGAGTTAAGATGGTCTCCGAATTAATTTTGGATGTTTCCAACTTGATTTTGCTTCGAGATTCGCGCCCGATCAAGATAATTTTTGACGACGTATCAATTATAATTAAAGAATTATTTTAAATAGTGATTGTAATTAAGTAAGCTGATTAAATAATAATTTTTATTTAGATCACTTAAATAAAATATGATATCAATTAATAAAATTTTAGTTCATTACAACAACAACAACAACATCAAGCCTTTATCCCACTACGTGGGGTCGGCTACATGAATCCTTTTTCTCCATTGAGTCCTATTAAAAGCCAAATTCTCGTTTAAAATCTAATAAAGAAAGGTCATTCCTAATATTTTCTAACCAAGTCTTTTTAGGTCTACCCCTACCTTTCTTAACACAAGTCAAATCTAATACCTCTACTCTCTTAACTGGGTCGTCGGAAGGCCGCCTTTTTATGTGACCAAACCATCTAAGGCGACTCTCTCTAATCTTATCTTCTACTGGAGCTACTCCAACCTTTTCACGTATATGCTCATTTCGTATCCTATCTCTAAGGGTAAAGCCACTCATCCATCTAAGCATCCTCATCTCTGCCACACTTAACTTAGTATTATGCTTCTCTTTTAATGGCCAACATTCGGCACCATAAAGCATTGCAGGCCTCACTAAAATTTAATAAAATTTTAGTTCATTAATCTTAATTATTAAATTAAATTTAAAAGTTTTATTAATAAATTTATATCTAGTTTATTTAATTAAATATTACTTTCTTATTAAAATTTTTTCAATTTAATAAGGCTAATCAAATTTATATTAGCATAAATTAATATATTAATTCATTATTAATTAGTAATTTTAAGCTTCTTAAGCCTTCTTCGACGACGGTCCTTTCTGTCGAATCGGAAGTCGCGGAAGTTCGCCGTTCTTCCTGTTGGATCGGACGTAGCGACAGGATCTCGCTGGCTGTGAAGGTAACTATCGTTCTCCCATTCGCGCGCTTCTTCAGCCAAATCCCGTAAGTCCGCCGAACTCCAGGATTTATTGAACCCGGTATTTTCGGGAAAAAAAAAATTAAGGAAACGGAGCATTTAATCCGCCGTGAGATCTACCGGGTGCTTAAATCCTGTTTGGCAGGGTTTGGCAGGATTTAGGTCAAATACTGCATTACTCCTGTTGCCAAACAGTCCCTTAAGTTTAATCCGTCCAATGCCCTAATTTACCAAATATGGTAAATGTGGGGAGAAAAGGGATACAAGGTTCTGTTTAGATTTGAAATTTTGTTGCTGTTGAGAAGGATTTAGATAGACCAGAAGTTAAGTGAGAGAGAAATTGGATTTAAGTTTCTGCAGGATTTAAATTTACCATTTTAATTGTTTGGTAAGAGTCAAGTTAAATATCATTAAGTATTGTCTTAATGTTAAAGCTGCTACAAAAACGAGCTTAACATTGTTCAATGTTCTAGGGCCTGTTGGAGGCATCCAGGAGATGCTGCTCCTAGCGATAGAACTCTGCCAGACTGGTTCGTCGAGCTCCAAATCATTGATGCTGAGAGCAGCCTACTTGACAATCAACACACCGACATCTGCCTCCTCGATATTCAATGCCAAAAGCTGCCTCCTCCATAGTCGATACGGACATACACCTCCTAGATGCTGAGACTCTTAATTTGTCTAACTCAAAGAATCTAAGAAGATAATCTCCTGAAGGTACATTCTTTACTCACCCACCAGTAATCATTTTCGTTATTTTGAAAGGCTACCTTCCGTCAAATTATCTCTCCAGCTCTCACCTACATTTGCAGGGTTGGGTTTTTTTTTTTTTTTTAAATAATCTCTCATGCTATTTTTTGCCATATTTGTCCTTCTTCTGTTGTATCATTGAATGGTATCATTCTTTGGAACGGAATGAGCGTAAAGGTTGATTGCTTCTTGAATTGTTTACTTTAGTGAGATCATTTATAAGAGTGTAAAACCATTCAAGTTGAACAAATAATATAACGAAATGCAGAAGATCCTTAATGAGATTATTGGATTCAAATGAAGGTTATGAAGTTCTCATGTCAATTATTGAAGACTATAAGCTCATTGTTAAGTGGTGGATCAGAGATATCAAAAAAAATGATTTGCAATTGGGAGAATGTGGGGATGACTGAATAAAGAAGAAATTTAATTGGAATAAATAAAGAAAGAAGAGTGGGAGATGTGGATGCCCAGGATGGTGGAGAGGGGTTTGACATTCTTAATCCTTAAAACTAAATGATGTCAGCAAGATTGCAGAGTTTGATCACCGTCTCCTCTTGGCTTCTAATTATCAACCCTGGAGTTGATGCTATCTTGATCTTTATTAGTTTCTTCCACAGGTTTGGAATTTTATGATTATAATGTTGAAAAATATTGAAGACCATATTGTTAGGGATGTTGCCATGTTAGTATTGCATAAAATCACATAGAATATTGCTCATGATCAAATGTACAATGCTAATCACTCATGATCTTTAATGAGATTATTGTTTTTGTTGTGTTGAAATCGCTTGCAGGTTGACCTTTTAAACTCATTATGTGATAAAATGTACAATGCTATCGCTAGCACTTATGTCACTGTTGTTCTTGACGAACCATGTAAGTCATGAGCACTTTCCAACTTGTTCAGAAGATCTATAAATATTGATTTAGACATGCCAAATATATTATAAAATTTCATGGGATGCATAACTAGTAGCTTGTCAATCTATTTGTCTCTTATATACGAGGAGTTCATGCATGGAGTTTTGTAAATATATGTTTCGCAATACTCATTTATAAAATATGAAATTGTTGATACAATATTTTTGCGTTGATTATTTTCTGGCAAATTGCTTATGTACTCATTATTTTTTATGCCTAAATATAAAAAAGAATTACGTAAACGCCAACGATATTTATTTAAACATCAACTTTCTTAGAATATGTACAGTATATCAGTTAAAATGAATGACTCAGACATTTCATCTGCATGTATAAATAATATAACTATATATGAAACAGGAAAAAACATTTATAAAATTAAATCAATTTAATTTAGATTTGTATAGAAATTTAAGTTAAACTTTCAGAGCATCCAATTAATTCAAACATATACAACTATTAACAAAATGAAGTATTATCTACTCATATTTGAGTACGTGATAAGTGTAATTGGAACTGCAGAAAACCATATAAAATTAAATACAAAAAAACAGATTAAATTGTTTTCAATATTAATTAGTTGGGCAATCATTACAACATTGAGATAATACAACGCACATCAAGTTCAAATTTAATTTCTATCATGTTTCACAAAAACAAATGGGCGAAAATTTTTTTACAGCACGCATGAGAGTAGCATGTGTTAAAACTCACAATGCAAATCAAATTATCATTTTTTCCATGACTGGCACCTATCCTAACAATATTAGCAAATGTCATCACATGCATCTCTAATACCTAGAAAACATCTCTTATACACTCCATGTATTCCGCTTTAGCTCTACTTTAAACAAAAATACTCTATGGTTGGCTTCCATAATTCGAGTTTTTCATCGACTCCCCCTCTAGTCTTATTAACAAGAAGAATATCATCAGCAAAAATCATACACTACGGTACATCCTCTTGCAAATGTTTAGTAAGAACATCTATAACTAAAGTAAAAGATATGAGCTTAAAGTTGATCCTATGTAATCCTACTGAAATAGGAAAATACTTGGTCAAACTACCTTATATTTGTACACAAGTAATAACTCTTGTATACATATCCTTAATGAGTTGATTATAAGCATTATAAACTCGTTTCTTTTCTTGAACTCTCCAGAGCACTTGTTCTAGAGATTTATCATATGTTTTCTCTAAATTAATAAATATTATATGTGGGTCCTCATTACTCTCTCTATAATTCTCCATCAAACCTCTAAACAAATGTATAACTTCCATAATAGATCTATTCGGCCAATCTAATTTTTATAAACATTAGTATTACATCGTAGCTTATGCTCCATTACTCTCTCATAATATTAATGTATGTCACATTAATTTAATTTATCTATGATCCAGACACTCTTGTACATCACTTTTATTCTTAAAAATAAGAATCAACATACTCCTCTACTCATTTGATATCTTTTTAAGTTTTTAGTACTCAAAATAGATTAAAAAGTTTAATATGCCAAGAAATTCTTTGATCTCTCAAGCATTTCTACATATGTATTGGAATATCATCACGTGCTATTGTTTTCCAATTTCCACATTCATATTCTTTAAAGTCACTCCAACTTCGATTGTAGTAATACAATAATAAAACAAAAAAAATTCTTTTGCTCTTGCCATGAAAGGATTTTATGAGAATAATAAGAAAATTGATGACATAATTTATTAACGGAATATTAAAGCAAGGGAATAGATATAATTGCTCTGCCTTCTGTAGCAACACTCATCTCCTTTAAAATTAATTGGATTTTCTCTGAATTTATTTGGTTCCGTGCTCAACTCTTTCTCTCTTTGAACACTTTTAACATTTTGCTTTATTATTTATTCTCATTTTTGTGTAATAATATTTTCCAAACTAAATATTGAATACAAATAGTGAGCAAAGTTTGGGAAGGGAATCAGTTGCGACATCTTTATTTATTTATTTTTTTTCAATCAACGTTTTTCATGACTAATTTCATATTGGTTACTATTATTGTGATTGAAAATCTCTGATGTCTTGAATCATCTTTTAGCTGGATGACCTTATTGTTGTGCTATATTATGGGTATATATATATATATATATATATGACGGCGGGGTAGAAGCCAACGGAGGGTAAGATGACGACGAGGTCCTCATCACCGAAAAATGCGAAAAATGATGAGCAGAACAAAACATAAATTCAAAAGAAGCACGAAAAACATGGAGAACATGAAAAAGGAGCGAAGACAAGAAGAGAATCCACAGAAAACCTCGCTAGAGGACGAAAACACGCTGGAAACCCTAAATCACCCAGCAATTGCTCGAAGCACCAGAGCGTAACGTGATATTTTAAATATCTTATATTTATTCAGCTAAGGTGTCATAATTTTTTTCTATTAGAATATATTATCACAAGTTGGTGTAGGCTTCACAAAAATATATTTATCTATCAATCAAAATGTGTAAATTATTAGTTTATTGAGTTTACATTATTATATGTAGAAATTATTTTATATTATAATGCTAATATAATATTTAAACAAATTTTTGTTTCACTTTTTTGACCAAATTCTTGTCAAAATGATATCAAAAATTTAATAGACTTTATTTCTATTAGATTTGATTGAATGAAAATATATTATTTTGATTTGTACATGTTGCAAAATTATTGAATATACTTTCATTTAATTTTAAACAAAATAACAAAATTTTTAAATATTTATATATAATTAGCAGAAAAAATATCATTAAACATGACCTATTTATTTTTCAGCCTCCTCAAACACTAGGCATTAATTTATACCATGATCAATGAGGATAAATCTCTATCTATTTACATTGTCAGTTTAGTATTCTGTTTTATGGCGTTGTGCGCCAACAGGATTTGTTGCCAGGGCTGATGTTTGTTTGGGAAAAAGCTGGGTGTATTTTTAAAAGGTGGCTATTTTTTAACTCAAGATAAATCTTATTTTTCCTTAGCGGCACTAGATGAACCTAAGTTACATGTTTACATATTTTTTGCAACATAACCATACAGCTTCCATATAGTCTATACCAAGCTCCACATCTTATATTATTACTATTAATAATTTTTTTCATTTATTCTCGAATTTGACTCGGGCAGGCGGTGCCTAGTTTTTCTACATAAAAGTTTATGCGAAAACTCAAAATGAAGGCATCTACCGCTAAAATATTGTAGTGTTACAATACTGAACTGTAATCCCTTAAAACTTTTATTTTGATAAAAACATAATCCAATGGAATTATTTGAGAAAATGGATCGCCTATGTTCATAATTTTACAGGCAATTAAAATTAGCATTTTTTGTGAGAAATTTTGGAATTCTAATATTGTTCAAGTTAAACTCTGAGACTGAAACAGTGAAACAATCTTGAAAGCAATAAATTTCAGCGACCAATATACTACTGTTGTGCTTGGCATATCAACTTTTCCTGGTCATATTGCTTACTTTTGGACTCATTCCATAAAATTTGCTTCCTGTGCTGGGACAAGGAGGTTCCCATATTTATTTGCGTAATATTGTAAAAAAAAGTCTTAATATTTTCTTCATTGTTTTTTATTTTACTTGTCCCGTGAGCCAAAAATATGATTCATCATGATGATAACCCTAGGCCTCCATTAGGTGATAGATTTATGTTATTTGCTCTCGTCCTCCTTAATCCTTATAACTAGCCTCCTGTTCATTCTTCTGTGTTATGCAGGGAGAAAAGGCTGATCTGGCTTTTTAATCCTTTATTTACGCTATTTCTGAGGAGAAACTACAGCGGTAGTTTTAGATATCAAGTTTCTCCTTAATTTTTGTTTAACTTGGACGTTTTTCCAGTTAATCCTCAAACCTAACAGGCCGTCTGCATAGGAGATGGCAAGAAGAGGCGGGGAAGAAGAAGAGGATGAGCACCACCAAAATCCTTTCCTCTTGATCAGTGGTGGCAAGGCTTCGTCCTCAAAATTTCAGTTTAGGTTCAGGATTTCATCCAACATGAACATTTATGACCCTTTAGTTTATCTATTTTGTTCTGTTTGGGATGCTTAACACTTTTTAAGTTGTTGGTGTTTGGTTGAAGGAATGATGTTTCCAGAGCTAGATGGGACGAGAAGCTGGGAATGGGAGAGGTTGTAGAAAAGAAAGGTAGCATGTGGACAACCACTGGAATTATTAGAAATGGAAAGCTTTATTGCCACATCGAGGAAATCATGTATGTATGAGCCCATTTTTAAGCTAGGGTTTAATGTCTGAAGGGCATTTGTAGCTTTTATCTTCTTTTCTTGAGTGATGTAATGATACATGAATCAATGCAACTGAAATATTTGGTGATTTATCATTTTATCCCAAGCTTAATAGTATTCAATAGTTACTTTCTTAGTTCTCTCTGTATATAAACCTGTGAAATTTCTTAACTGTACCTTTGCGTTGGTTATTCCCAAGGTACTACCATCTTTGGTGGAACTGCAGCATTCAGGCATGCAATGAATCTATTGAGTTGTGAATCTCCATTCATAGCATTCTTGAAGAACATCTTTTAAATATATTGTTCTGTTGAATTCTGTATATTTTATGTTTGGATGATTCCTTTTAATTGATCAATAGATGTTAGTTTCCCAAAATCTGATTAGGAAGGATGGTTATTTTTTCTTTTTTTTCGTGATTATCAAGTTTATTACTAGATCGTGTTATGCGTTATTGTCCTAAAAGACTGGATGCTGAGGGTATAGGCTATTTCCTTTGTTTTGCTGGTGTATACCAATGTGCTTTTTCATTTATTCTAGGTTTTTAGCTGAAAGAGGAGCTTTGCATCTGGTTGGCAGTGATGATAAGATCCTTAGCATTGGAGATCTTTATAAAAAGATTGCAGAAGGAAAAGATGGGTGTAGTTGGGGGACATTTGAGGCTTACAGGCGCTTGAAATTGCTGGGTTATATTATTGGGCGCCATGGAATTCCTTGGACAATGAAGGAGAATAAAAGCTTCATTTTCAATTCCCAACAAACGATATCAAGCAAAGATGGATCATTGGATCTAGATATAGAATATAGAATTTCAATTTTGTTGAAGGGAATGCAAATTGATGGAATAAAGCCAACTTTTGATGTTTATCTGCCCAACAGCAAGTTCAAAAAATCTTCTCCAGGCGATCCGGTCTTCCTGCTGTGTGTTCTCAAGTATGAAAAACACGCATTAAGTTTATATTTTAAGCAGGATTTTATATTGTGTTTTTATAAAAATCGTAGAACTATTACCATTCACTTATATTCTACTTGTTTTGCTTACTATTTGGGATTAATTTGCTTTGCAGGGTGAGTCCACCTTTGAGACAAGAGGTTGAAAATGTTGAAAGAAGTTGTGGCTGCATTCCCATAAAGTTCTGCATTGTCGATCATGGGCAGGTTAGTTTCTTTTCATTTGATAAGGTGACACTTCCAGTCTTGCCATGATAACAAATCAACTACTCGTATCTTAGAATTTCTTTAAATCTGCAACCAGGCCTTCCTAATTTTTGCCTGGTGCTTAAATGTGACCATTTTGAAACCCACTGTAAGATAGCCATTTTTATTTCAGCTGCTGCTGTAGATTTCTGTTTTTATCTGTGGGGTAATATGTATTATGTATAGGAGAGAACTGTAAAAGAAGGCATGGACAGTAAATCATCGGATTATAAGCACTGGAGAATTGCATTTACCAATATAATCCTTGCTGTGATAATATTATATAGTATATGCATTTGAATTTGGTGATTGATGAATGATGTTTAGCTATCACTTATTAGGGTGAGTTTCAACTCCAGGTTCTGTATTTAAGCGTCTAATCATGCTTTATTGTGCTGTTATGGCTAAATTTAGTTGGAGAAACCTTTTTTTGAAACTTGTGAGCTTTCTTATTATTTGTTGATATTTATAGCTTTATCTTGCTTAACCTTTGGCCAATGTACTTGTATACGAACTTAGATGTCTTTTTGTCTGAATACAGATGATGTGGATTTTAGGATTCTTCTGTGTAGTTCATTGAGAATTTCTTGACACAATTTTTTTAAGTCAAATCTGATGTAATTGGGGTCTGATTTGTGTAATTTGAATTCAAATCTAATTTTCTTCAAAATTAATTTAATACTAACACAACAATCAAATTTGAACTTAATATTATTTAAAGAGGATAATTAAAACTACGAAAATAAATAAGCTCAAAGAACATAAAAATTAGTAAAAAAAATTAAAAATGGGTATAAGAAGCTTGAAAATTAGCTCAATTCAGTTTTGTTGGGGTCTGATTTGACTCCTTGTAATTCATTTATGGCCAAATGATCGTTGTGGTCTAATTTGATCTATTTAGTGACTTATATTGTATTAATTCCAGTGGGATATTCATATAGTCGTCTGAGAGATCAGTCTCTAGCTTTTGTAGTTCATCTTTGGTCATCTAGTTATCTTTTGAAGGAAGTTTGCCTTTCCACCTAATCAGAAGTCTGTACTAAACATTTATACCAACTATCATTTCATAAAATATCGGCCTTCCGATGACCAGTTTAGAAGAGTAGATTGTATTAGATTTGATCTATTTTAAGAAAGTTTGAGGTAGACCTAAAAAGACTTGGTTAAAAAATATTTGAAATGATATTTTTTTATTAAATTTAAATGAGAATTTTATTCTTAATAAGATACAATGAAAAAAAAAGAATTCATATAGCTGATCTCATGTAGTACAATAAAAGTTTATTGTTGTTGTTGTATCATTTCATTTGGAATGACAACTTGTTTAGAAAGGACCATAGGCACTTATAATTTCTTGTGTTTGATTTGTACGAAGCAATCTGATAACTATACAAATCATAACAAAGTCACATTCCTTATACTCTTGAACACTTTCTTGACATTCATATCGTCAAAATATTTCATGATATTTTGAACTAATTCATTGAAGCTCCATATACAGTGCTGAGTGAATAAAATCATGACTTAACTTGCCTCTTCAATTTAGCATATGACCTAGTTCGGTCGCAATCCAGGAATTCCAATTACCTTGACATAGCTTGCTCATTAAATTGTCTCATAGACGACACTAAGGCTTCGTTTGGGACGGCTTTCTTATTGTTTCTTAAAGCAGCTTTTAAGTTTTTAACTATGGCTCAGTTGTTGCATGTTGAAAACTATTATGATTTTCTTAGTTGCAGCTTTTCCTACAACAATTTAACTAGTTGACTTTATAGATAGTTGTAGCTGCCTCAAACAAACCCTTATAGTACGTGGGGGAAGGGTATTTTGGTACATTGATGAAGCATGCAATTGATGGTCAATCCAGCTAATTCTCAAGATGTTCTAGGCAAAAATTCTCATTCATTAAGGGCCTTCTGGTCATATGAGCGATCAAATAGTAAGAAGACAATTAGAGATTGTTCTTAAGGCAAGAAGACAACGAGTACTTATGACAAAATTAAAATTAAATGTGTTTGAGCTACTTGCATGCCATGTCAACCTTAGAGTCTAAAGGTTTCGTTTGAGCAGATCTATACTGAATACATGGAATATAATTTTAGTAGTAATAGATTTAATGGGGGATTGTGATTTTGGATGATCAAGTTATTAATAATAGTACAAATTTTAGATATCTCAAGTTTTTAGTCCAAAGTGATGGTGAAATAGATGGGGATATTATTAGTATAATTCAAGTTGTATGGTTGAAGTGGAGGAATGCATCAGGCTTGTTGTGTGATAAAAAAAGTATCCCTCAAACTTAAAGAGAAAGATCTATAAGATGGTGGTGAGACCTGCAATGCTTTATGGTGCAGAATGTTAGCCATTAAAAGAAAAGCATGCAATTAAAAAGTAATAAATGTTGCAGAGATGAGGATGCTCAGGTGGATGAGTGGCTTTACTCTTAAAGATAGAATGTGAATTAAGCATATATGTGAAAATGTTGTAGTAGTTTCAGTGGCAAATAAGATTAAATAGAATCGCTTTAGATGGTTTGGTCACATAAGTCATCGGCTTTTTGATGACCTAGTTAGGAGAGTGTAGATGAATTAGATTTGACCTATTTTAAGAGATGTAGAGGTAAAGGTAGACCTAAAAAAAGAGCTGGCTAGAAAATATTATAATTTTAGAAATGATCTTTTTATATTAGATTTAAATGAGAATTCAACTTTTGTTTTTACTATATATATATATATATATATATATATATATATATATA